AAAATGAAGGAAAAACAAATCATTTTCGTTTTTTTCGTGAGTTCATTTTGCAAATCATACGATCTTTAACAAAGTGTTGGGTTCCTTTATGTCACGCTAGATTGTAATAACTTGTATTTCTGCAGTATCCTGCTAAAAGTGATGCTACTCTGTATCTATGTAGTAAGTATTTAGGAAGGTTTTCGAAGCCAATGCAAGTGAACCGTACGTACTCTGTCACCTCACAACAGAATTTACAGTCGCTATTTGTTTTCGCTGTAGACAGTTCATGTATATCGCTGAAAAGAACAAAAAAATTACATGAGAAGAGGAATAAATTTTAAAAATCCCAATGGTCGCAACGGCTGCAACACCTAGGGTCTTAGGTTGATCCCGCCAGGTGCACGGGTTTGTACAGAGCAAAAGTCAACCGACATGCAGGTGGAATATAAATAGATTATTTATATAAGTACGTATGTATATGTACATACTGTAATTTGTAATTAATATAATAAATACATAATTATATGAACAGTACTTGCAATTACGCAGTTATTACGTATATAGATACACAGTATTAACATAGTCAGTATCTGTGTACATATTACACATAAAAGATTACGCACGTAAATATTGTACATTAATGGAACCACTTGGCAACAACAGACGCACTAGGGTCAAGACGGGTACAAATAAAAATTTCTTCGTTTTGTAGTGGTTTCGAAACTTTTATTATTTTTTATTTGTACTCTTCCGGCTCGAAATGGCTGATGACCGTACTATCTTTACGGCACATATGTCCGAGGACGACCTATGAGATGGCGGGCGGCACAACGCTGGCAACTACGGACCGGTCCACCAACACCTTTTTGCGTTTAACGCTGCAGGGCGCCGCAATATGGTATATTAAAACAAATTAATTTAAATAATAATTTATTAAATAAATAAATACAATAATTTACAAATAGTAATCAATAATATATATTAATTTAAATAAAAATTTAAATTATAATACTAAATATTTATTTGCAGCGTCGTGTCTTCGTCCAGCGGACCCGTATTAGCGCCGCCGTCGAGGCGTACTTCGGAGTACGTCGCGGGTTGAAATCCGACATCGCCGAAATTGGGCATAATAGCGCCCAGGAAGACCGCGCGCGTGTCCGCTACTGTAGTTTCGCGGCGGAGGAGGCCGGTATATTGGCCGCGGAGGAACGACAGCCCTCCGATGCCCCGCAGTGGAATTGCCGGACGGCATTCCGTTGGTGCCTCGCCTACCTGGCCGGACAGCGCAGCTGCCCTTCAGCCAGCAATAACGGCCAAGTAATGCTCCAGCCGTATGCCGATCAGCAGGTGGTTTAGGCACTCCGGGGCGAGAACTGGACCAGAGTCCTCGTCAGCGCCTACAAAACCGCCCGCAACACGATAGACGCCGCTGCGGGAGTCGGGCAGTATGAAGAGCCGCTTGAAATCCTCAGATAGCGCCTGCAGCTGCTGCGCGCTCTGGATAACGCCGCCGGAGCCATCGAACGAAATTCGTTGATCAAATTAGTATTCAGTGCCTGAGTTAGAAACCAGAATTCTGCATGAAATGTGTGAACGATTTGATTGAAAAGTGAATGATTTGATCTGTATTTCCAGAAGCGAGTTTAAAGCCCGTACCAAAGAAACAACCAATTTTAACAATTAACAAATTTTACAGAAACTGTTTAATGCTGCCTCACCGTCGGTTTTCGATCGATAAAGTATCCGATAATTTTCGCTATTTTTATAAGCGTTATTAAAGTACGAGGTTAATTCCGGTAATGTAGCGTATTCGTACTGAATATGATAATATCGTCCCACGATGTTATATGCCGCCCTGTTTTTGGGTCGCCCACACACCTGCGGAGTGGGCCAAATGTACTTATATTACTGCACCAGTATCTTAATGCCGAGTTGCAGATTAGAAAGGTTGTTTTCTATGCAGTCTTTTGGCCGACGCTGCGCCTACTGTATTATCGTATTATGCAGCTTGCTTTACTCATGCATTTGTATGTACATATACATGTACAAGTAGGTTCAGTACCAACAAGTAATGATAAATTATTATACTTGCAGTTTCATATATGCAGCAGCGCGGCTATGGAGTTTATACTCCATAGAACTTTGTAGATAATTGGTTTTACTGAATGCAGATTAAATTAAAGGTAGCACTTTATTAAATTAAAGCAGTTATAACTTGCATCAGCAGTAACCTTCCTGGATAGTTGGTTGAAACTCGCTAATTGCGATCAAAAACAACATAAAGATGATAGAACGTATACTGCCTAGAATGGATTTCTTTGCAAATAATAATGGCTTCCTTTCAATTTAACATTTTAACTGGCTGTGAAGGCAAAGTTCTCTTACTTGTCTACCCCGGCGTCGGTGTTCGGAATGAGATAGCGCGCTCCACACTGCCTTCGCAAGAAAGTGTCCATCGCGTTTTGGGAACACAATTCTGGAATCGGGGCTAAAGAGTACTAAAATTTCGATTAAATTTTGGAATGTACAGTACGCGATAGTACGTGATACCGTACTAAAGTACTACCATAAATAGTACGTGATACCGTACTTGTATATTTTCCATTAGAAATTAGAAAGAAATTAAATTGCGCCCAGATTAGAAAGCAAGTACTCGTAGAGCCGTAGATTCTTACGGTAGGTACTGCGAAAACTGTTTGGCAGGGTGCAATGAGTGTTGCCATGGTACTTAAATAATTTTACATTCCTTTAAATTTATTTTGCAACTAGAGAAAATGCTAGATCCTGGTTCTGTGTGGTTATGTGCTTTTACTTGCAAAATTATACAAGACCGTTAACGCGCCTTTTTGGTACTGTGCACGTATTTGCGCTTAAGCGTTTTGGAACAGTACTTTGCTCATAACTCCCCGACCGGATATTGCGCGAAGGAAGGGATGTCGCGTACGACGGTGCACATATCAAATAGAAAGGCTACAAAACAATGCAAAAAATGGTTGGGAATGCGCGAAAGCGAAAATTTCCGTGTTGGTACTATAAATTTGGTACCATGTACTTGAACGCTTCCCTAAGTTCCCTTAATACGGCGAAATTAATTTGAGTTTCTCGCCATAAAAGAGTTGAAAATTACGGTAGTTATCGTAATTTTGCAATACTCACTGTTCTTTTGACGCGCCATTAAGATATGTTGGAAATAATATTATTGTTTTATTATTATCAACTATGTAGCAGTATATACTTGTTGTACCTGTTGTACATACAGGTCAAATCAAAATGCTCGTTCCTCAAAACTTAATGCGCGCAATTTAGATAGGCTACTATGATCACCTTTAGAATTTCCGCCGTGGGCAAGCAGAAAGATGCCAGTTTTCGGCATCCCAAATGCTGCTCAAAGCGGAAACCATAAACTCAATACCGACACAGTATCATCGAATCGTTAATGCACTGAAATTCTAGAATACTTGCATGTTGTAGCACTATATTCCATCGGAAGGTGTTATAGGTTTTAAATTAACTGCAGAATAAATATATAAGATAGAGAATAATTATTTGCAGATTTTGAACGGTGTTGTTAGCCGTCGCTAATTGTATCTGCGCCAACTGCGCCAGTACTGGAGGTCAATAAAACGATGGCCAACACAGAACTGGAAGAGTGGGGCCTAACTGTGAAGGGACTTATTGAAGAAGTACAGTACTGATAATTGCTAGGGCTGTCTTTAACGCGATTGAAATGACATTGTTGCTGAGAACACGGAAAGTGTTGAATGACCTGAATGTTCACGCAGTCTGTTAGATTTCGTTATTCAAGAGAGCAGTTGTTTCGAACTGCTGGTTTGATGAAACAAACCAATTCAGTGCTAGCGGGTCGCTGGCCGCTCAAAAACCGCATTGCGGTGCAACACCATTATTGCCATCCTTAAAATTTTACAGACTAATTTCTGCCGATAAAGTGCAATTATTTTGCGAAGCTTGAAAGGGCAAGGAGTTAGAAAGAAATCAGTCAACTCTAGTTATATTATTTTTCAAAAAATTATGGAAATATAAAACTTAATTAACCAGTATTATCACCCGCTGTAGCCTCTAGTGTCCGCTTAGTGGCGCTGCCGCTGGAATAATATTTTGCTGTTGCAAGAAATAAGGAAAAAATTAAAAAAATCAAAATTTAATGTTTTTTACGGCTGTTCCGTTCAATCAAGACACATAAATCTGGAGTATTAGATGCCAAAAAAATGTATCGTAGTGTATATGAAGGAGCAGCGCATGCAGCTTGTATCTTTTGCGCCACGTGTGTACTTATAGTTATGGCAAGCAGCCCCAGTTTCCGTGCTATGTACTCTACTCAGTCCTTTGTGATTTTGGACCATGCATTCAACGATCATTTTCTACAAAAGTGACACGCAGTTTTTCGAAAAGGTTTACGATTCCCAATTCACATATGCCACCTTTGTGCTACGAGTATGTGTAATTGGGCAATTGAGTCAACTGCGTGATTATTTCCTGGGTGTTTTTGCGGGCAACGAGACAGTGTGCTATAAATCTAGCGCACTGTCGTTACCACATTGGACCAAGGGCAGGGTCCAGAAAATTGGGTGTCGGAAGCGGTCGCACTGTCACTGTTGCAACCACCCTCGCCAGTCTGGGTGCCCACCAAGCAGAAAAGTACCACTCACATACTGATACCTCCTGCGTTGATTCCGGCTGGTACTCAGCGGGAGCAGAAGCCACTAACTGCCTACCTGACACTGACACGGATTACCACTTCAATGCGTTTATGAGTTGTGTAAATATTAACCTTTGATGATATAGGTACCACCTGCTGTGCTGGCATTTACCCCCGAGTAACTGCCAGCACAGCGACGGATGGGGGAGGTTGCCATGCGGCAGGGGCAGGGATCGCCTCGCTACGATTCGCAGAGTCTGGTGTATTGAATACACGAATTCTTACACGTTCCCTTTGGGAACGTGTGTACTATCTGCAGTGGCGCCCCCACGCTGTGCCGTTGTATACATGCTTTCGCCGTTGCGTACTAGATGAGGTACGCCAAAGCAGAGTTTTTCGGGATTTAAAGTAGAATTCAGGCCTCGGAGTTTACGCAAAGTTTTTCCACTCCCAACATCCCACAGCATTACTGTTTTATTAGCAGAACCGGAGGCGATTGGTGAGCTGTCAAACGATCCTCTTGCGTCCAACACTTCGAATCCATGGCCCGATTTATCCGCACCACAGGTGATGCAGTAATTGCCGTCCACATTTAAACGCACTGCGCGAATGGCGCCCTGCTTACAGTCAAAGCTCTCCGGGGAAGATGAGTAAAGTGTCTGGGTATGTGCGCAATCTTTTCTGGATAGCTCGCTGTGGTATTATGCAGTTTGATATTCAGGATTTTTGATCCGCTGCAACGCATTATAGTATTAGCTGTCCAGAGTGAAATTTGAAGTGAGAGAACTATCGTTATCAGTCAGCGAACTGTTGTCACAATCTGGATGGCAGCAGAGTTCTCCGCTCCATAGCTAGTAGCTGTGTTTTGAAGAACCCACACAGCTTTGGGGTTTTCTCTTCCAACAGTTATCTTCAGGCTATTCTTTATCCGCAGGCAGGGGTGGATTGTGTTGGGATATTGATTATTGTGGAGAGAATGATTATCGGCTGAAGGCTATCACCGTGTATTGTGCGGAGGAAAGATACTGTTGTGCGGTTGAAGATTATCAGGTAATTCCCAGAAATAATCGAGGAACTGCTGAATTTTCGCAGCGGTTTTATTTAATATTTTTTTTGCTTATATTTGTAAGCCGTATTTCATTAGGAAATTGTGGGAATTAAATTTTGAATTTTTTTACCTGTTCGAGTAGGAATTTCAAGAACTATTTTCAGATTTTTAAGCAATTTCTCGTCGGTTTGTTTTGGAATTTTTTCCGCGGTTTTAGGTGCTGATTATATTTCTTAAAATATTGTCATTTTTTATTTCTTGTAGGGCATTTTAACTCAGTTTAAGCGATATATTAAAATTTTTAGGGAAAAAATCAATAACATTAGATTATGTGATATTCTCTGTGACAGCTCGCAGTATAATCGTATAAGGTAATCGTCTCAATTCAGCTATCATCGTGCATTGAATTTGTACTTTTGCGTAGTATTGTATTGGATTTAGCTTTCTTAAGAACTGTAATAAAAAACTTCTTCTTAAACTGTAATAAACTGTAACTTCTTTGCTTAAAAACTGTAATTCTTCTAGCTTCTGATAAGTGACTGACTTTCCCTGAGATGGCATAATTCAATTTATCCAGTTTATTTACCGAATGCTATTGATTTTAAGTGTGGTAACTGTCAGTAAATCAAGTCAAAACGCGGTATTTGTCAAATGGGTTTATTGTCGGGCCTGCGGGTTCTATAGGTGATAATATTATGATATTCTATGTTAACTTATTTGATAATTTTCACAGATTGTTCTCCCTTCTTTGCGCCTCCGCCATCGTCTCTGCTCCGCTGCGCTGCTGTTCCACGCCAACCTCGTCGTTCCGGAGTACTGCCACCGGTCTTCGTTCCACGGTTCCCCGCCGTCGCTACCGTGTCCACTGTTGCTCCGACGTCCCTCTCCGGCGTGCTGTCCCCTGCGTCTCCCGCTTGCGTGTCTCCTCCGATCACCGCCTTCATCTCCCACATCGGCGTGACCGGCTGTGTGTCCCCTGGATATCCCCACCACCGGTTCAAGTGAGGACAGTGCTTCGGCACAGTCCAGCCTTGTCCCGGCCGGTAACGTGCGGACAGTGCTTCGGCACAGTTCACTGTTTCCGACGCCTGCAGGGATCAAGTTGATCCAGCAGGTTAAACACAAGGTGAGACATTTGTTTGCAGTATAATTTTCATTATTTTTAATGTCAAGTACAAATAAGTACCGAACAAGCTATAATTCGCTGGCATACCGAAATATTATTTTCTTTTGTATTTTTTCTAAAAATGCTACGGTAGTATAAGCTTTCCATAATATTAATAATATTTTTTCATGCTAATTTTCTGTTTCGGTCAGCAAGCTTTTTATTTTGGAAGCGTGCGATTTATAACATTAAGTACTGTTTTTCGATAATGATATAACGGTTTATCTAAATATTAATGTTTTGTGCACGGTATATCTTAACATTTTGCATTGGCAGCCGTTATTGCAATGAAGAGCCAGGCCTGAGCGACACGACAGTTATTCGTTTACATGTATTAAGGTGAATAGATTTGCACTATCAATGAGGCGAGAACTCTCGGGCAAGCAGTTAAATCAGAATCAATTCAAAATACCACATATGAAAAAATTTTATTATTGTACTGCTATGTCCTAACAATTGCCTTGCAGTATACGATGGCGTACTCATCTCCGTCGTCCTCCACATCCGTCGCCATGCCCGCGGGCGACCACCGGCCACCATTCCATGAGCTGCGCCCGGTGTCCTTTGACCACAAACGGAACAGCGTGGGCCGCCTGGCCCGATCTCGCACGGCCTTCCTAACGGACTCACAGGGCACCAGTGTGCTCCTGTGTGCGGATAGATCGCCGGATAAAGGATGGCGAAGCCGCGGCACCGTG